CTCAATAATACTTCTGACTGCAGATCAATTACTCACTATCTACGCACACATTACATTACCGCGTCACGTCATTGTCCCCTCTTATATATACCAAACTACCCTATATCTAGCAAATACTAGAGCATTCGCCAAGATATGGGATAGTTCTAGAAACGTGGTGTCACTGTAGTCATGTGATCTCGATGATGCAACAATATGTTAGAGTGAAACTAACAGTAGAAAAGAAAATAAGAAAAATAATTTTATTCCATCAAAGTGTAGTTCTAAAGTAAGTGAATCAGCCCGAGTGCACTTTGACAAAAGGAGCAGAGGATCTTCAAAAGAAAGAAGACCTAACAATTACAGTAACTCGTGCCACAATTGTAAGTGAATCACAGAGAATACTAGTGTGATAGAAATAGAGAAGGTAGTTTGGCTTGTCAACTGAAATTCTAAAGTAATTGAATAGGCCTAAGTGGATATTTGACAAGAAGGAGAGAAGTACATGTATATTATATATGATATGCCTATAATATCCATAGTGTTCAAGAATGTATTGTACATACGTTAACTTGTTCAGAATATATATATTATTTTGAAAACAAGTGAAGTGCATGCTGTTTATTCATCATTGAATTTATCACTAACAAGTCACAGACATTTACTGTAGAAGAATAGAAGTCCTACAACAACATAGTATATATTTATAAAGAGGAAACTTTATATATATATATATCATTTTAAATTCTGACAGACTTAAACATTTCTTTCAAAACACAGACTACAGCATGAAATCATTAAACCCATGAATTCATGATTGCTAATAAATGTGTGAAACCTAGCTATCAGGTCAATGCTTATTACATGTTGTGCAACAGTATGGTATACACATATGTCAAGTATTGGTTTTTTATTTCATAATAAGTTGTAGATTTACCAAAACAAAAAAAGTGCTTAGGTTTGAAAATATGATGACTTTTGTGAGCTATTAGTTTTATGAATGTAATTGGAAACTTGGACAGTATAATGTCACTGAACTGGAAAGGGTTAATTCTTTCATACATTAAATAAATAAACAACCATTTAATGAACCACAGTATTTGTCTTTGTTCCAACATTATATATTTTTACCTTGCGCAAGCTTTGATAGCTATATAAACAAACTGCAAATCCAGAAATATGACATACTTTGGTGTAAGCATATAAACATATCTTTCCTTTGCTCCTTGTGACACTGTTGGAAGAAATAAAAAGCAAACACTTCCTCCAATTTCTGTGGTGGTGCATAAGCAGCAAGAAGACGGGACAGCCATTTCTGACACTCTTCGCTTGTAGCAAAGTTACAACTACACAAGTAAAAACAAAATACTTAATTGCAATTATTCAGAAATATCTTATTTAAATAATAACATATTTATGTGCAAGTCAAACAAAACAAACAATGATTGATTTTATATTATGTCTTAACAAAGACAAAGAATTCCAACAGAAAATAAACACATCTTGTGAAAAATGTTGTAGGAAACAATAATGTTATTCTTTCCTTATCTCATAGTCTCATTTTCCAAATGATTTTTATCTTACAAGTTTCAAACTAATATTATTAAACCAAAATTTAAACAAGATCTTTATATATCTGTGCTTATAAAATCACATCTACTTATTAATTTCAATATTAAAATTTGACATCTAAATGCTTTTGGAAAAAATGGTTCTCCACTGCTTTGATAAATATGAACAGATATAACTATTTAAATAAATATAATTCAATTATACAAAATATAAAGTTTCTGCACCATGCCTCCCTTATATCTTTAATCACACTCTCTATGAAATGAAAAAAACATTTGTATTCAAGATGTATTTTCAGATATAAAAGAAGAATATCATCATTCAAGCCAGCAAACATAGTAGGCTAATTTACATATTTGCTGCAATGGTTCTGTTGCATTGACAACTACTTATATTTTTGCCCTTCCCTAACTAGAATATGAATATATCTTTGTACAGGTACATAGATGTAGAATTTTTAAATTTTTTCTTGCATTTTTTTGCTGACATGTTTGAGAATGGAATTTAGTCGTATCTTGCTCTAATCATCATCTCGGGTAAAGGTTACATACCACAGTGATCACTTGTGCTTGCCTGTCCAGGCTTCCATATTGTCTCACTCTTGCTGTGCATAATATACCAAAGTGAAAATGTGAAGCAAAGAATTAAAAATCAACCCAGTAATCAGTACAGCTAATTAAGTATGCTAAACTTATTTTATTCTTTAAAGAATACTTCCAGTTTTCATCCAGTGAAATGTCTTCACTCAGATACAGCAGCAAGAGTATTTGACCAAAATCTAAAAGAAACTGACCAGCTTAGAGATTAAGCAGAAATAACTACATTCTATTATTGTAAATAGTTTTTGTTCTGCACGCATCATTCGAGTGATTTCCTTTGGTGTCTGATACCATTTTATTCTCCTGCAATACTTACACATTACCTTTAAAGCCTATTTTAACTTGAATCTTACCTGTTACAGTTTTACCTTTGAATAGCACTTACCTGAGAAGAATGGTTTACATGGATGCATCAAGATTAAAGCTTCTATCAGATCTAGCACACTAATACACATTATCTATAAGCATAAAGTTGTGTTACATAAAATAATTGAATAACCAAAATTACAATTAAATCAGTTAATATCAAGAAAATAATCAAATTTAATGTTTCTGATTATTCCAACTATTCAAGTAAACAAATTTTGTCTTTACAATTTCTCGTTATTATTTTTCCAGTCAGCGTGGTCTGATGATTTTAAATTAGAAGGTTATGGGTTCAATTCCAGTTGCCACTATCCACACTTGTCCTTTCAGCTATGAGGTGTTATATATATTTCTTTGTTTTCGAGTTATGGCTGAGCAACTAAAGATATCTGTGACTCTCCCCATTTTTGAGCTGCTGACCAGAGGAAAGGCAACCAACCAGCAGTACTATGGGCTACTATTATATGGTAGTAAATAGCATTAGTAGTTTTGCCATAACTCAAAAGTTGTTCAGATTCAGATATATACCAACTGAACTCACACAACACAAAAGTTAATACTACTGTTGGCATGATTGCATGTGATGTAATGCATGCTGTTCAGCTTGTATATAACTCACAAATGTGAGGGTGTATGTTGTTACCATTGGTTGCATAACTAGCCATGCCTGTTTTTGTGTGTTTACCTTGTTTGGACTAAACAACAGTTTAGTTTTAACTTAATATATTGTTCACTTAAAGACCTCATGTAATTTCTCACTGAACGTTTAAAAAAAGTTTAAAAATTTTTCAAAATAATGCTCAAACAATAACTGGTGCTAAAAAATATTAATACATTCAAATGTACATAGTGTGAAAGTTTTATTTGTAATAAAAAATAAACTAATATGGCACATACTTATACAAGTTTTATAACATACTAGACCACCTGTGACTCATTGGCTCACCCACTATTCAGAGATCATGAAGAATTCAAGCTAATTTCAATATTGCACCGAAATGAAGGTTTATTTTGAGATAATTTAATTACATATTTCAATCTATTTGTGTTATTCATAATTCAAGAAAAGATATTTGATTGTTGATTGGGAGTAAAAGGAACCACCATTTCATTTTTCAAAAAAAGTGAAGTCAGAGTTTTCAGGTATTGTGATGAATTAGTTCATTATGTTGTGGTCTTTCCTCTTAAACCTTCTACAAATAAGAAACAGTAACACTTTATTTTTTCTTCGAATTACCTGCCATAACCAAGGTACATTATTGAGAAATTCTTCAAGATCTTGTTTTTGTCATCTTACGCCTTTTAATGAAGATGAGAACATTGACAGGGAAATAGATTTGAACGAAGAAGTTTCGTAAAGGGCACAAACAGTAGTGTGATGTAAAATTACTCATGATAGAAATTTTTATAAAAGTGACCCGAAAAATGGTGTTAACTCTGTAACCCGTGGCCCGATGACATTTCGTAATGAGCGCAAATGGTAGTGTGATGTAAAATTACTCATGCTAAAAATTTTCAAAAAAATGACTCGAAAAACAGTGCTAACTCAGTAACCCGTGGCCTGATTTTAACGAAACTTCTTTTATTTTGTTTCTATTCTCATTTCATTACAAATATGGCACTACTGTGCACCATTTTTGCTGTATTCAATTACAGACAAGCAAACAAACAATCTCAGAGTTTTAGTAGTATATAGATTATCCAAATGTCTGGCTCTACAATGTTTTCATTATCTTAAAGTCCAACTTCAATTCCCAAAAACATGCTAGAATTGTAGGACATAAAAGGTGTTGCCCTGATATATTTTCAGTTAATTATCTCCTGTTTTGTAATAGACTTGGTGTGACAGATTGGTGATTATCACATCCCTTTCAGTTAAATCAGTCCGCATTCTTTTGGCAATGTAGTAACTTAGGTATTATACATTAAGTTTGTGATTTTTTTTTATTATAATTAAGTATATTTTCAGCAGATGATTAATTAGAAAATCAGTAGATCACCTTGCATAATCAAAAATATTATCAAATAGCCACTCTACCCCATTTGCCATATGTAATCTTTACAATCATCAACCATTATAATAACTTTTAGTTATAAATTAACATAAAAAAATCAACAAATTGACATTCAAAAAGAAGTTTTTAATTTTATTATTAGGAGAAAATGTAGTTAAAATAATAGTATATATATATATATATACCAGGTCC